TAGGAGGAATATTACTCCTATAAATGGGACTGAAATCTCGATTTTCAACCCGACCCTAACTTTACATGCCAGTACACAAACTCACTCGTGTTTTGGCTCCGAAGGCAGCGAGATAAGATTAGAAAAATGAGCCGAACGTGGGCTTTGCTTCCCTCATGCACATTTTATGTCTTCAAGACTGGATCTGTTTTAAGTTCTGTCTTGCTCACTTAGCCAGTAAATTACAGTTTTATGTCATACACACTCCTCAGCGCATTTCATTCAGGCTGTACTATTGAACTTATGCAAATTTAAACATTTGTGATACTGTTATTGTGATCTATGCCATATGGGTTCTTTGTTGTGCTTTCCTTCAGAAAACGTTCTGTAAATTTTTGGCATCTCTCTCGCATACTACTCACAAAGGACTTTCTTCTGTAGCCACGCTTTCAAGAATATATCCCCAAGAGTCTGAAAAATATTCATAAAAAATTCACGACTATTATGGCAAAGTTTTTTCTACTTCAACAAAAAATATGGAAACTGTGCTAGACGCCACATAGTATACCAGGGGAAAACCAAACGAGAAAAATATGCACGTCATTCAGCCGTCCTCCAGACCCCCTTTCTGCTGTTTGGTTAATGAACTTACTGCTTAAAATGCTTTCATCCACTGAAACTATTTTATATCTTTACAATAATATTTATAAAACAGAGGAGAAACTGAAAAAGAAATCATTTCCCAAGTTAAGCCTTCGTTTTTGGAGTCATTTAGTACTATCTAGTGAGCAGAAATTGCTTTGGGAGGCCAAAAAAAAAGATTTATCGGTTTAGGAAGACTGAAGATAGCATTGGGGAATCTAAACTTGAATTCTGTACTTGGGTTAAACGTTAAAACCTCCGCATCTGCTTTTTGTGAGAGGCGAATACACTCGGAAACTAGTCCAGGTGGTGGTAAGTGCTAACAGCAAACACTAGCTGGTAAAGATATCAGTGATTCCACTTTAGATCTGTATGGGATTTGTTTGCCTTTAGAAGATTTAACTTTGGTGAAAAAGGGAAAAACCGAAAATAAGTTACTAATACTATAATTATACTTCTTTATTTTTTTGAATTGCCCAAATTGAAGTTCATTCTTAAACTCTCGGTAATGCGTTTATCGCCGTTTCTTTTTAACCAAAATTTTTCCTTACTTATCTAACTATTCACTTCACATTCTTCCTTATTCTTTTATTTTTTATTCACAAAATTCTCTTATTTTTTATTCTCGGGAAAAAAAATAAGAGAATTTTGTAAATAAGAAATAAGAGGAAATAAGAACCGAAGAATAGGTTAAGGGACGGGACGAAGACCAAGGTAATTCGTAGAAATTGTGGTGTGGAGTCGAATTGAAAGCCGAATCCTGCCAAAAAGATCTGAAATCGATGCAGAACTGGGGACCGAAGACAAGAAAACCGGTAGAATTGAGAACCGAGAAAACGAGAGTCGAGAACCGATGACTGGGGATCAAGTACGGGGGAAAATAGGATTTATATAGGGAGAAGAGGACTTACACCTAACAGAAGACCTATCAGCTGCGCCAGCTGGATACAACTGCAAATTATCCATGAAAACATATGTTGTATCAAAATGAATTAGAAATTAGGTAAGGTTATGGGAATGGTTATGGTAAAGATGGGAAAAAGCTAAAGAAGAATAAATGGCGATTAGCGTATTATTTGATTTTAAAGAAATAAAAAGACACCTGCAAGATATTTACATGCATAAAGTACTTTAATAATGCATTTCATACATCCAATCGTAGAACCTCCTCGCCTCTCTTATTATCAAAATCAGAGGGTGGAGAAGCACCAAGAGTGAGAAAGGAGCCAGGGGGAAGGAGCAACAACTTAGTCGAAAGCGTACCAGCTGCCGGCACGAAGATGCGTTTTTTGCACAGTTCCCCGGCAAGTTTTTTTCGCCAACGGCACGTTCTTCCCGGCAGATGCTTCTAGCTAAAACAATTGGGACTGGTTATCACAACTGTTAGAAATTATTACAATGACTCTCAATCCATACCCAGAAAATTCAGCGCTCTGGATGTTTCGGTTGCGGAGTTACGCCAAATTTCACGTGTTCGTACGTGAGTGGCAACGTGAATGCTTTCTTCGCATCCGATTGCTCAAACGCGGTCCTGGGCAGCGCTCAGAAAGTTCCAGTATTCAAGCTGCTCTGGTTATAGAGTCACGTCAAATTACACGTGTCCGTACATGGGTAACGTGAATACTTTCTTCGCCCGCAGTTGTTTAAACACGGTCTTGGGCAAAGCTCAGAAAGTTTCAGCACTGACGCATTTGCAGAAGTCACTCGACTTCTGGGCGAGCTCTTCGTTCAGGACTGCCAGGGCCCAACTGATATCTTGCTGCGCACCAATGCTCTAAGGAAATCAAAAGCCTGGACGGACAAGATTTCTAGTAGAATCTTCGAGGAAGATCAGGATGGTTTAGTTATTAGTGTGGACCGTGTTTACATTCCACCAGGGACGCAGAAGCGGATAAAGATGGGTTTGAAGGACAAAACCCTTGAGTTGAAAACTTTGGACTTTTTGAAGCCACTGTTGAAGGGTTAGAAAGTGGGTTGATCGAGGTTGACAACTCGGGACAATTCTATACCCTTTTCTGTAATCAAACTGCTGCCGCCAAAATACTCTCTCGAGGTGCAGTATTGGGATGATTAGCGCAGCTGAAATAATTAAAGATGCTAATGCTGGCGGCTGTGATGATGCCGTATGCATCTTGAGTCAACGTACTAGGCAAGAGGATTTAGGTCGACGTGAACAACTGTTTGATGCTCTGGCCTTAGGGTCGGAAAGCGGTTATGAGTCAGTCGTGCGTACGAGAATGTCTGAGGAGCATGATTTCGGAGTACGATGATGTTTTCGCCCTCAGTGAGAAGTTAGGAGTGACGGATGTCATGGAATATGACATTGATACTGGGGACGCACGTCCCATTAAGCAACCCCAGCGGCCTGTGCCTCTGTCGTTACGTCCAGGGGTTGGCAAGATTATTCAGACTGTGCTCAAGCAAAGAGTAATCGTTGAAAGTTCCAGTGCCTAGTCTAGTCCGTGTGTTTTAGTAAAGAAAAAAGATGGCACAATTCGGCTTCGTGCCGACTTCCGTAAGGTAAGTGAGGCTCCAGCTAAGGACAGCTATCCGATGCTTAAAATAGACTTTAACTTGCAGAGTCTGCACGGCATGAGATATTTTTCAACGCTTGATTGTATGAGCGGATTTTTCCAGGTACCGCTGAGTGAGAATGCCCTGCCGAAGACGGCTTTTGCAACCCTGAACGGCCATTACATGTTTAGGCGGTTACCTTTTGACCTGACTACAAGTCCGGCTTGTTTTGAAAGGCTAATGAAAAAGGTATTAGGTGATTTATTAGGGGATGAGGTTCGAGTTTACATCGATGATATTATGGAAGTTACGTCAGATAGGCACTCTGCGGTATTACGTGAGGTGTTCCTAAGATTGCGTCAGGCGATCCTCAAGTTGAAGCCAACCAAATGTCACCTACTTAAAACCGAAATCGAATATTTAGGTCACATTGTTGATGCCCAGGGCATTAGAACTGACCCTAAGAAAGTGGAAAAAATAAAGGAGTACCCGATACCCAAGACACTGAAACAGTTACGTAGTTTCTTGGGCCTAGCAGAATATTATCGTAAATTTGTGAAAGGTTTTGGCGAGTTAGCACGCCCACTCTACGATATTACCAAATCTCAGAAGCCTTTTCGTTGGCCCGAGGGTTGTCAGAAGGCCTTCGAGACCCTTAAGGAGAAACTGATTTCTGTTCCGGTCTTGGCTCAGCCGGACATAGCGGCGGCAATAAGTGGAGAAAAACCATTTATCATTAATACCGATGCCTCCAAAATTGGGGTAGCTGCGGTTCTGATGCAAAAGGGTGATGATGGTTCCCTTCACCCGCTGTACTATGCGTCCAAGGCCTGTTCTCCTGCGGAGTCTCGGTATCACGTTACGGACCAGGGGGTTCTGGCCGTATTTTTTGCTGTGCCGCGATTTAAGATGTTTATTCTTGGAGCTAAGGTAGTTGTATGAACGGATCACCAGCCATTCTGTTCGCTGTTTAAGCGCACAGATGTATCTAATAGAATTTTGCGTTGGACGCTGGAACTGCAGATGTACAGATTAGAAATAAAATATGTAAAGGGAAAAACAAATTGTTGTGCGGATGCCCTGAGCCGCATTATCCCTTGCCCCGATGCTACGGACACAATTGAGTTCGATGCAGGAGGGGTTGGGTTGAGCCAGGAGGTGGCCGAGCCGTGGGCCGTCGCGGGCAGACATGACCCCCACACGGCTAGCATCGTCAGCCGTTTCGAGCGAGGGGAGGAGATACCGGGTTACTGGTTAGAAAATGGGGAGGTTATGCGGCTCTTCGAGAGGTCTTCGCCAGTTGTGGTGGTGCCTCAGGGTAGGCGTAAGCAACTGGTTTTGGAGGCTCATGCTGACACGTCTGCGGGGCACTTTAATCCCAATAAGATTATGAAATTTTTAAAGAAGCGTTACTGGTGGCCTGGGATGTACCGATATACTGAAATGGGTTCGTGAGTGCCAGCAGTGTGCAATTTTAAACACCCACCCCAAGCACGTCCCGCCGTTACGGCCTATCACAACGTCTAAACCGTATGAGATAGTCGGCATCGATGTTCTTAAGTTGGGTCTGACTCGTGCTGGCAACCGATA